AAAAAAAAAAAAAAAAAAAAAAAAAAAGGAAATATGTAGTAAAAAAAATAATAAATTTTTTATATTAAAAAAAATATTAACAATAATCTAAAAAATATTAAAGAAATACTATATTTTTAAAATATACTTTATCAAAGAAAGATCAAATCGTATGCTTAACCAAAGCCAATTTACATAGATAAAAAAAAAATTATATTACAAGAATATATGTAAAATTTAATTAAATTTTAAGTATTAATAGAAAAAAAAAAAAGAATTAAATAAAATTGTTTTAAAATTTATTAAGTTTAAGCATCTTATAATTTCTTCATTATGAACAATAGAATTAAAAATTATTAGCTATTTGAATATATTATTTTTTATAAATAAATGTTTGAATAATACAATTATAAATTTTTTTTTTTTTTATTTCCTTTATTCTACATTGGTTTAAAATTTATAATATATTTCTACAAAAAAAAAGAAAAAAAAAAAAATGTATATAATAATTCAACTATATATATAATTTAAATCTTTTTTTATTTTTTTTTTTTAAGATCCAACATTAATTATTGCTAAAATTAGAAATTAGCTTAAAAATTATAATCCTTTTTATTCTTTTTTTAATATTTTTAGTTTTATTATTATTTTAAATAAAAAATAAATTAAATATATATATATAATAATTTGTATATTAATTATAAAAAAAACTTATAGCAATATCCTTATACGTTGTTGTTTTTTAATACTATTTTTATTTTAGTTTTATTAAATAAGTGAATTTTACTATTATATATTAATGTGTAAATGTATTTTAAAAGAAAATAATGTTATTTATAAAGAATTAGTGATTAAAAAAATAATTAAAACCATTTAAACGAAAAAAGTAAATTTATGAAACCTTTTAATCTATAAGAGTAACGTCTTAAAATTCAAAGAGATATTTAATATGCTTTATAATGTTATTTTATTTTTATAATTTATTAAGACATTAGAATTGTAACAATTTTAAATATAAACAAATAAACCATTTTAATAAGAAGTATAAATATAATATAAAATAATAAAAATTGAAATAATTAATGAAAGAAAAATTAAAGTTATATAATAAAAAACATGATGAAATATGATTAATTCTTCAAAGAATTTGTTTATAATATGTAAAGAATATTTTAAAAATTCACTTATTTATATACTTTATTTATACATAAAAAAAAAAAAAAAAAAAAATCAAGTTTTTTTTTCTTCTTTATAAAAAAAGATGAGGAAAATTGAGCCTAATTGAATATTTTAAATTTTGAATAATATGATTGGGAAATATTAGTTCTTTAGATTTTTCTCTAATTTTAAAAAACACAATAAATACAAAATTAAAAGAGTTTTTACCATTATCCTTAGATTCATTATAATTACTATAAAATTCGTTAATTTTAATATCTAAGTAAATTTTTCTATCTTGTTCATTTTTATAGCTATATGAATTATACATGCACAATAATATATTTAAGATATGCATTAATTGTTCAAAAACTTTTTTACTCTTATTTTTTATAATTAATGAATAAATATAATTATAAATCTTTTCCCATATCTTTGCATCACCTATTTCAAAAAAATATATTTTATTGTAAAACATTAATTCGAAAAATATTTTTATTAAACTTAAAATATTATAATTATCTTTACTATTCTCAAATAAAATGTGTAATAGTTTTCTTAAATTAACAAAAAACTCTTCTTTAATATTTACATACAAATTTTTATTAATTTCTAAAACTTCATTTGATTCATGATTACTTAAATTTTTATTATCATCATGTATACTTGCTTCTTTATTATTGTTTTTATTCGTAGATATCTCTTCAGATGAACAAATGTTGAAATATGTACTTTTTTCAGTATCTAAGTTTAATGTATGATTAAAAAGTATACTTTCATTTAAATAAAAATGCTTAAAAATATCTTCTTCATTACTAATTTTATCTATATCAAAAGCATAATTATACAAATTATCTTTTTTTATAAACTTATTTAAAAGTTGAAAATTATAAAAATTTAACCATGTATTTAAATTATTTTTATTCAAAAAATAAGAGAATACACAAATACTTAATTTAGAAAAGTAGAGATAAAAATTATTATCGTAACTAACCATTTCATAACTATTTTTAAAATATTTATTCATAAAAAAAATAATACATTTAAATAATTTTACAAAATTAAAGTTTCTAATAAAAATTACAGGAATATTAAAAAGAAAAATATACATATGTTGAAATAATTCATAATCTTCAACTTTAATAAAAACATCTAGAATATCATCAAAAATATCGTAGATTTCACTAATATCAATATTTATCCCTTTCTCTAATATATTAATATAATTTTTTACATTTAATAAATCTTTTTGTTTTCTCCTAAATATTATTAATAAGATAAAATTAATAGATTTTAAAATGGGAAAAATTATAAAATAATTAATTTCATTACTTGAACATTCCTTCAATAAATTTTTTAATCTCAAAAATAAATTTAAAAAATTGTGTATATTTTCAGAATCTAATTCATCAAAATCATCACATTTGTAAGTATCAATAAATGATTCAATGAAATTATCTATTGATATCAGGCAAGCTTTTTTATCTTTCAGAAGTTTAGATTCAATAAAAATGTAGAATTCTTCAATATATTCATTAAAAAATTTATAGAAATGAAACATATTCCTCTTTTGCATAATTTCATAAATATTTTTATAATTATTTTCACAATTTTTAATATTCATAATAATAAAGCTTCTTGAAATCAATTTTGATTCTATTTTTTTTAATAACTTCTTATTTTCTTCATCAAATAAATTTTTTTTATTAAATTCATTTTTTAATGTACTAATAATTTCTTTACTTATTAAATTTGTTACAATGCATATGAGTGGCGTATTTGTTACAGATTCATTTTTGAATAAATTTAATATTCCTTCTATTTCATTTTTTATCATATTTTCAACACATTCATCTACTATCAAATTCTTATTTTCATTAATATAAGAAATAATATTTTTACCTATTATCTCTATATTATTTTTTATTTTATCAACCAATTTTAAAAGGTTTTCATTATCTAAATTATCATTAGATATATCTTTATAAATATTTTCTAAATAAGTTCTTTCTTTCTGTATTATTGTTTTCAAGTCATTTCTTTTTAGGAGTTTCCTTATATTATTATTTACACTATTAATAATTTTCATTTCTTCAAATACTCTAATATTACCTACTTTTTTTTCATCTCTGAAAATTTGTTGATCATCTAAATCAAAAAGTAAATTTTTTTTTAATAGATATAAAATAATTATACTAGAATAATTTCTAATATTTTGAATATCTCTAAAATTCAAATCAAATTCAGAATAATCATTTAATAAATTTGAGTTCACAAATTTTATATAATGATAAAATGGGATATTATCTACTAAATAATAAAGTAAATCATTTATATAAGATAAATAATTCTTGGGTAAATTCCTTGTGATAAAATCGGAAATAGAATCAAATACAAATATGCATAAATTAATAAATAAAAATGCATTATCTGATAATTTTTCGTATTTAACTAACAGCTTAATAATTGTAAAAGAAATGTTACTTAAAACAAATTTATCATTGCATTGATTTAATAAAAGTAAAATATATTTTACGGTTTCCTCAATAGTTAAAGCACAATTATAGTTACTAACTATTTTTTCTAAAATCTCTTTTTGTTTATCTGAATTATTATATTTAACCAATTTCCCGAAAAAAATTTCCTTTTCTTTATATGTCTTATTTTCATTTTTATTATTATTTATTACGAATTCATTATAACCATTTTCAAGTCTTTCGCTATTTATTATATAAAATTCTAATAAAATTTGTAAATTAAAATTAATAGTAACAGATGAAATTATACAAGCATTTAAACAATCTATAAAATATAACTCCAATTTTTTGTTACCTATTTTTTTATTATGATACTGTAGTATTCTAAATATAATTATATTTATATTACCTATATCATTAACATTTTCCTTATTTATATCATCAAAATTCTCATTATTTATGTCGTTATAATTTCTTATATTTATATTTCTATAAAAACCTCCATACATATCTTTGTTTCCCTTATAATACAAAAAAATGTTAGTCTTAATTCTATCTTCTAAACTCAATTGATCAAAAATATTTGAAAATTTAATACAATAACCTTTAAAAATATTTAGGAATGTTATGCATAATTTGATATCCATAATATATGAATCTATTATAGTACATATGAAAAACAAATAATAAAAAATTTCTTGAACAAATATATTTAAATTCATTTTATTGAGGAATTCTATCAAGAATCTTAATATAGCTTCATTAATTATTTCATTATTAGTTAAAAAAAAATTCGTTAATTCTATATTAAGTGAATTAATTGCACAGAGAGATTCAGTAAATTCACAATTCATTTTAAGGAAATCCTTTTCAATTTTAATCATAGTTCTACTTATATCTTTTATTGATATAAACTGAAATATTTTAAATTTAATTATTTCATTACGTGCTTTTATCTCATTTATTAATAATTTTTTATAAATATATTTTATAATAATACATAATCTCTTATTTACTTTTTCAAAATCAACTACATTATCAATGTCATCACGAAAAAAAGGTAAACGATTAAAATTTATCTCTTTTTTATCAAAATTATCCAAATTATTCTTAATTTTACATAATAAATGAGAAATCTCATATCTTTTATCATAAGCAAAATCAGGAAAAAAAAAGAAATCTTTTATTTTCTTATCGTAATTAAATATCATTAAATCAGAATATTGCATAAATAAAAATACATATATATAGTTAAAACAATATCTACTTAAACAAATGTAGTGATTAATTAAATCATAATTTCTTTCATTATTAAAATTTTCATATATATTTTTTAAAACATAATCTTTTTTACTTTCAAATTTTTTTATTTCATTTATAAAATTTCCATCTACTTCCCTCTCTTTTTTTCTAAAAATAATCTTATATAATGAATTATCATCAGTATTATCAAAAAATTTATATAATGTCTCTACATATTTATCTATTGTACTTTTATCTACCTTTTTTATATACATATTATTATATACATTTTTATCTAATTTTTCATATGTTTCCTTAGAGTCGTCATAATTTTCTCTATAAAAAATAGATGAATTATTAAAATATGATCCTCCTTTCTTAAAAAGTGTGCAATCTATATTTGTTATTTTTTTCTTTTTATGAAAATTATTCTCTTCATTTATTTTACATTCAGGACAATCAACTGTGTTTATATTTTCATATTTTATTTCATTTAAACAATTTATATTAGTATTCTTATTGTTGAAAATAAAATTCACTTTAGTTATGTGTTCATTATGATTGTTACATTGCTCTTTTTTTAACATTTTAAAATTTTCTTCTAGTAAATATATGTCATTAATATTCATATTATATTGAATAGAAAGAGAAAAGAACAAATAACTTAAACCTAAAAAACTATATTGAGAATATATATCACTTTTTATTTTAATGTTAGATATAAATAATTCCCTAATAATAGCAACATTTTCTTTTATAAATTCTAAAAATGGGTTATAATAAATTATGTAAAACATAATTATACATAAAAATTTATTATTTTTTTCTGTATGAACAGATTTTGATAAATATTTAGAATTATCAAAAATATTTTTTAAAAATTCGTAGGATAGCTCATTTGAATTTATTCTATCTAACTTTAAAAATATGTGAGATATGTAATGAGCATATATTTTTTGAATTTTAAATTCATCTAAATGTAAAGTATTTATTATATCTTCTTTAAGTAGTGAATTAATGTAATTATCTTTTAGAGTTGGTAGGCAACTTAAAAATTTTAATATTTTTTTTATCAATGATAAATTTTTATTAATATTTTCCTTTGCATATTGTAATATTTTCATAAATATTCGAGTTATATAACGATGAACAAACACATAATCATCACTTGAATGTTGCAATTTTGCATAACTATTTTCTCTTATTATATTTTTCCAATTATGTAAAAGATTTTTAGAAAAAAATGTTAAATAAAAGAAATTAATAGAATATTTAAAAATTATATTTTCAAAATCTTTGTTTTCTGTTATATAGTTGAAATATATATAAAGAAAATAGTTCGTAATTTTTTCTAAAATACTATAATATTTTTGATGAAATATCTTCTCTTTTTTTATCAAATTACCAAAAAAAAATATAAGAGAGTATATCATAATAACTTCTTTCTTATTATTTTTATCTATATTTTCAAAGTTTTTCGAAATTAAAAAATTAACAAGATTATCTAATAACATACAATTATTTTCTTTCGTTAGTATATATATTTTTGTTAATAATTTACTAGTTATTTTTATTAATTTACTATTTTCAGTGTATAGAAGATTATTTAAAATTAAATGCAATCTACGTTCTATTAAAATGTGTATATTACTATATATTCTTTCATTATTTTTTAAAACATTATCTTTACAATCCTTTAAATTTTCTAATTTTTCTAAATTACTAAAAAAATTTGAAAAATTTTTTAAAATTAATAAAAAAATATTACAATATAGTATAAAATTGTCAATTTTTGAATTATTCTCAAGGTTTATTGAATGCAATAAAAAGATATCCATGATTAGAAATGTATAATTAATGCTTTCTGTATAAGAAAAATATGTAAAATTTACATTATCTATATATTTAATTAAATTGAATAAATGTTGTATATTAAAATTTTGGTAATTTATGTTTGAATATTCTATCATAGATTCTATATTATTTATTGAAAATAAATCATTACAAATTGTGGTATAATTTATGTTGTTTTCTATAACTTTCTTTTCATTTTCGTAAAAAACACAATCTTTACTTTTTTTTTTATCAATATTTATATTACTTATAAAAAAATATATTTCATGTATATTTTTTATATTAAACAATTTTTCTGATATAAAAAAAATATAATCATCAAACGATAACTTGCTATCCTTATGTAAATTTAAGTAATCTTTTGCAATATCCGATAAAATAATATCATTACTATTCTCATACAATAAAGAATAATACTTAAATTCACAACTCGTTTGACAAAAAATGTTAACAGACCATTTCAAAATTGAACTAATTAGTAAAGTGTTATCAGAAAAAATGACATATTTATCTAATATATTAACAATGTTTTGAACTATTATTTTTTTTACATTTGTACATTTTTCATATTTATTTAACTGTTCTATACTATTTTCATATGTATTAAATGATAAATTTTCAATATTACTATCAGTAATATTTATTTTGTCATATATTAAGTAGGTTTCATTTTCAATACTTTTCATATTTATAATATTTTTATAATATTTTTCTAAAGATGATAAAACTTTTATTATATTATTATATATTATATAAGAATCATTATTATTTTTTTTGTATCTTTTTAATTTATCAAAAAATATATATGTAAGTATAAAAGATTTATTTAGAACAACTGTATTTATTTTGTCTTCATTAATATTTAATTCAAAAAATTTTTCTATTAAGGTTGAAACATTTATAAAGGAATTATAATTATTATTATCTTCGTATTTTTCCTTTAAATAACAAAATATTAAATGAAAAATATAATTATTATAATTTTGTATATAAATATATTTTGTATTATTTAATAAAAATAATGTTAAATTGAATAGGCATTTTAACATATCTTGATTTTTTAATTTAATAGAATACCTATTTTCACTTAAATATTTAGTAAATTTTGTTTCTTCATTAAACAATGTATTAAATTTAGTAAACTCTTTTATAAAATCAATACTATCCATATCTTCGTAAAAAAAAAAAAAAAAAAAAAAAATATAACTTAAAATTAAATGTAAATATTTCCTGTCATTAGCTAAAATAGAACTATTCTGAAATAAACTTAATATGTTTATGATATAATTAAAAGTGTAAATGTTATTATCAAAATATTTAATTATCTCAAAATTTAGATCTACAAAAGATATATTATTAAAATCTATAAATCTTTTTTTACTTTGAATTAATGAATTTGCAAAGTCTTTTATTTCATCAAATTTTTCAATTGAACAAATAATATAGGAAGAAAAAGCTAAATTATCATTTTTTATAAAATTACTCAAAAAATATAATACATTTTTTTTCATTTTTATATGATTCTTTACAGAGTAATTTTTACAGTTAAAAAATTTTTCTTTGTAAATTTTTATTATATCCTCATTAAGAAATTTTATTTCATTAAAATTTTTACAATATATTGGTATTAGTAAAAATTCATTAATAAATTTTACAAAATTAATAATTTTATCATCTTCACTTTTAGAATATAATGAAATGTATTTATTCATTATTTCTTTATTATTATTATTATTTAAAATTTCCAAACATTCAATAAATTTTAAAATCAAAAATATACGCATTTCTATATTTATAGTTAAACTATCCATCTTTTCAATTATCATTTGTTGAAATTTTATTTTATCATCATCATTTGCATTTTTAAACCCTATATCTAAAAATATAGATAATGTACTATTATATAATATTCTACTACTTGACTCTTTATTAATATTTTTAAAATAATTTTCAATTATTTTCAATAATGGGATTTTAATATTCTCAAAGGATTTACATCTTAATATACAATTACTAGTTATTTCCACTAATGTTTTTCGCAAACATATTTCACTTGTTAAAATTTCATCTAATAATGAGGGAATTAGCTATATAAAAGGAATATATATATATATTATTAAAATGAAATTTTTTTTTTAAAAAAAAATAAGAAAAGTATTACCTTATATAAGACAGATTCGATTTTATCATCCTTTGTTAAGCACAAATTTAACAAAATATTATTATAACTTTTTTTTTTTTCTTCTAGATACATATTTTTATATAAAAATAAAAAAAGGTAAACAGATATATAATATAAAAAGGTTTATAAATATTAATTATTTTTTAGTTGAAAAATATGTAAATTTAACTTTTATATATATATTTTTTTTTTTTTATAAAGTTAAAAATTTTTCCTTCAATAATAACATTTTGTAACAATATATTGACGTATTATTCAGTATTTAAATAGTTTAAATATATTGATATTAAAGGAAAAAAAAAAAATAAATATCTTAATTAAAAAAAAAGATTTATGTTATAAAAATTTCAATTTATATATTTAAGAATTACTAAAAAAAAAAAAAAAAAAAATATAGTTTAATAAAAAGTCTCAATGTTAATTAGAAAATTTTAATGAATAAACATCTTTTAAATTATTAAGTAATTCTCTCAACATTTTAAAAGATGATAAAGAAATATTTATAATTCTATATTTTTTTTTTCTAATTAAAAAACAAAAGTATTCAGCTAAAAAAAAGTGTACTTGATATATCTTTTCTATATTATTTTTTGAAATTATTTTTTTTATTTTTATTTATTATTTACTTTTAATTATTGTACCAAACAAAATTTACATAAATATAATTAAATTTACATTTTAAAAATTGTTAAAATGTGTTGAGTAATAATATTAAATTTTCTTTCTACACAAAAATAAATTATTGCGTTTTTACAAAAAAAAAATGTACATATTTTTATGAAAAACAACTTAAAATATTATAAAGCTTAAAATAATTAAGCATATCATATTTTTTCTTTTTATAAAAAAAGTAAAATTTAAGAAAACATTATATAATCTAGTGTTATTTCTTAAATCTATTTATTCAAGTTTGAATTGTAATTATTATAATTTATTTATTTCATATGTGTATTTTACAAAAATAATAATAAAAGTTTATCTCCAAATATATTATGCATTCAAAAAAAAAAAAAAAATAAAAACAAATTTAGCTTATAAAGCAGGAATAAGAATGAAAGAATAGTTTTATTTAAATTTATTTATATATAGATATAGGTGTAAGCATTTCTAAAAAACAAAGACCCTATATTATCTTTTTTGAAAATGTATGAATAAAATTTCACATTTCCTTTTAAAAAGATTATAAAAAAAATAATGGTGTTAATGAATTTTTTTTTAAATGAGAACTAAAAATATAAAATGAAGTATTATAAAAGAAGAGATAAATGTCTAATTAATTTTCTTTTATTTTTAGAAAGTGTATATACAAGAAATACTCATATTTTATTAGAATGATACATGTTTATTAGAAATAAGTAATTTATTTAGGCAACATTTTTATATTTTATTGTATTATTTATTCTTATTTACTTTCTTTTATTATTAAGTAATCAGTAATTTAAAAAAAAAAAAAAAAAAAAAAAAAAAAATAGCATACATTTATTTAATATATAGAAAATAATTTTTCACATTGTTCCTTATATTAACTTATTTTTTGAAACAATTTATAAAAAAATATAATATTTTGAAAATGTGGTCTTATGTATTCCTAAAAATATACTTGTGGTGATAAAATTATTTTGTTTTCATTATAGAATTTGTTGTTTTTTTTTTTTTGTTTTTTTTATAATAGAAAAAAAAAAAAAAAAAAAAATATTAAAAATAGTACCTCATAAAAAAAAACCTCAAAATGAAATCTCATTTATTTTCATGTAATAGTAGATATTATTATGACATTTTAAATATTACTTTATCTGATGATGAAGAATTTGAAAGATTTTTAGATACAAATAAAAAAAATGAATTGTATTATTTTTTTGAAAAAGCTGTTAATAAAATAATTATTGATACAAAAAAAAGTTGTGATATCAGTTCTGACTTTGAAGAAGTAGAAAAACTTGAATACAAAAAAAACGAAGTAGTAGATTCAGATTGTATAGACGATATTGACATAATTTTACAAAAAAGTAAATGTAAAAACATGTTTTTAAAAAAATATAAAAATGATAATATTATAAAATTACCTCCTAAAAGTATTAAACAAAGAATATATTCTGTAAACCAAGAAAAAGCGGAAATGAAACATAATAAAAGAGATCAAAATAAAAATGATAAAATAATTGAAAATTTTAAAAATGTACTGTGTAATGACTTAAATAAATATTTTAAAGATATATTAGAAAATGTAAAAAAAAATAATGAAACACATAATCAGTCCAATAATTATATAAAGAATGCTATACATACATTAAATGATAGTATAAAAATTAATAGTATCAATGCTTTAAAAGATAATATTAAAGATTGTGTTATCAACTGTAACAATAACAAGCACATAAATTATTTCTTCAAAGATAACACAAAAAATTTAAATTATAACAATATATATGCAAATGAAAATATATATGATGATAATGGGATAATTAAAGTTGATAGGTGTGAAAGAAATGGGTATATAAATAAAAAAAACTTTAAGGAAAATAATTACAACATTAATCTTGATACAAATACAAAGCATAACCAAAATAATGTATTAAAAAAAAAAACTTATAAAAAACGTAAAACATCAAAAAAAAAAAAAAGTGTCAAAAATTTTCATTTTTCGAAAAAAAAAGTTTCAACTAAGGAAAATAAATTCAACCCTTATCATTTCAATAATTTTTATAGCTTAAAAAATAGTAAACCTAAAAATATTCTTACTAACAATCAAAATATAGAAACTTTAAACTGTTCGAATATATCATTAAATCAATTAATTTGTAATAATGGTAATATAATAAAACTAGAAAATTATAAACTTTCCTAAATTCAAAAAAAGACAATAATTGTTTATCTATACTTATTACTTTTATCTTTTACTCTATGAATACTTACACTTCTGCAAGTAAAATATATGTATGAATTTTTTTTTTTTTTTTTTTTTTTTTTCAGATAAATTAAATATTTTTAAAAATTTAAGAAATTCTGTTGAAGCAAAAGATAGCTCATGTGGTAATTCAAATGAAGATTTTACTTTTAATCACTTTCAGAAAAATGCTAATAATAACATTTTAAATAAGCTTCTTTTTTAAGTTTTTACTCTCAATATTTTTATTTTTTTTTTAATTTTTTTTTTTTAAATTGAGAAAAGACTTCTATTTGTTTTTATAAAACTTCCAATTATGTAATTTTTTTTTTAACTATTTAAAAGAAATTATTTGTCTTTTTTTTCAAAATTGTAATATATCACTATATAAAAAACAGAATAAAAGAACATTAATTATAGAAAAATCTTATTTAATTTTCGAAGTTTTCAAAAAATTACAAAAAAAAAGAAAAAGTATTAATTACAATGTTTTTAAATTACAATATAAAAATAAATCGATATCTTAAATATATTGAACTTTAAAAAAAATTTAGACAAACATTTTAAGATAGTTTGAAAATTTTTTTTTTGCACATTAAAATAATAGGAAAAAAGAAAAAAAAAAAAAAAGTAACAAATATAATAAAGATTTCAAGATTAAGAATGAGTATAAATTTATATATATTAATAAAAATGATACTTAATTCATTTTTTTTTTTTTTTTTTTTAATTAAAGCTATTCTCTTATTATTGTTGGTAAAGGGTGGATATATATATTCTTAGCTCGTGCTAACGGAATTGGATAATATAATTTATTTTTAAAGTTATAATAACAAAAATTAATTTTGCATTTAATGGGTAAGGTAGAATAGTAATCAAAATTAACTTCAATGTTTTTTTTAAATTCTAAATATAAAATATTTCTATAATTATCTGAAAATTTACTCGTTACATTATTTAGTGTACAGTTTTTTATATTCCATTCTTTAATATCTATTTTGTGAAAATTAGATTTATTTATTTTTTTATAAATATTTGTTTCTTCTTTCTTTTTTTCAATACAATTTATTTTTAAATACTTTTCATCTAAATTAAAATCTGAATCATTATTCATACTTTGATTAATCACTTTTAACTTTTTTCTTTTTGCAAATAAAGAATTCTTGATATCTTTTTTATTATTTTTATTCAAACTTTTTAAATGTTTCAAAGAATAATCTTCTGATAATATATTTTCAACCATGAAATTATAAGTTAATAAATTATTATTATATGAATGTAGTTTTTTTTTGATATTTACTTCATTATTATATGGTTGAATTAAATTTCTTTTCTTTCTTTCTATATTATTTATAATGAATACTTCTTCATATTCAATACATAAATATAAGTTGCTAAAGAAATCATTTATATGATAAGGAAAAAATTGTAGAATTTTTTTAAAATCTTTCTCATATTCATATGATTGATAAGATTCTATTTCAAAAAATAATTTTATTTTTACATCAAAAAAGGATAACAACAAAAATGGAAATTTTATGCAATTATTATAATTTATGTAGTCCTCATTTTTTATGTGATTTATAATTCTTTTTAATATATTATTTATCACAACATTTAATGAATATAAATCATTATTTAAATTTGTCTCTTTAAAAATACAATCTAATCCAATTAATAAATGTTTTAAATTTCCCCTTTCTTTTAAAATTTCAAAGTGGTTTATTTTCTTTCGATTGTTTAATAAATCATTAAATAAATTTATCTCTTCATTCTTCAAATTATATAATTCACTTTCATAATTTGAAAAAAAATCAAGATGATTTATTAAAACATTATATAAAAAGTTATTTTCATCATAAATTCTGTTTATTATATAGTTAAATATATATGATATATCTACTGAGTAAAAATAATTCATATTGAATAAGTAAAAAATTTTAATAAGGTTTTTATTTATTTTGTGGTTTAAATTAATTAGTTTTTTATGATAAAAATATTCTTGAAATTTATTTTTTAAGTCTATTTTTTCCCTATTTCTAATCTTCTCTTCATTATTCATTATTTTTATTTTAGACTTCAAAAATTTAAAGTTTACATTTTTGTTCAAAAGATATTCATCTTTAGATTTTCTATTTACACTTTGCATAAATCTTACATTATTTTTATCTTCATCTATTAATTCATTATTCGTATTTTTTCTGTTAATTTTTCTTTTATTCCCTTCAAATATAAAATATTTTGTTTCATTATTTAAATTGCAAATTCCATTTGAATTTATATAATTTTCTCTTTTCGTTTTATTTCTCTTATTTATTTTATTTAATTCAAGATTTTCATTAGTATTTTTTAATGTTTTAATATCATTACTTTTGCTAAAATAACTAATGTCAGATAAATCTACCATATCACAAAAGCTTTTGTCCTTATTATTCATACATATAGACTCAAATTTATAAGAATTTAAATCGATTATGCAATCTTCTTTTCTTTTAAAGTTATTTATTAAAAAGTTTTCCGGTAAAACATTATTTTTTAAATGTTTATAAAAAGTGTTAAAAAAATTATGTTTGTGTATTAATTGGACTGAAATTAAATCAATTATTAATTTTCGTAAAAAGGATTCGTAACATAAAGAATGCCTAGTTCTAATATTATCTCTTAAATAAGTTAAAAATAAAACTTTACTGACAATATTTTCATTGATTATGTCAACTAAATTCTCTGAATATTTCATATATGACTGTCTAAAATATAGGTTTTTCTTTTCTTTTTCATTTGATTTTGTTTCTTTTTCTTTTTCGTTTGATTTTGTTTCTTTTTCTTTATTTGTTTCATCTTCTTTTTTTTTTTCTTTTAATTTTCTTTTTTTTATTATTTCAGTTTCTAACTTTTTTTTTTCTTCTTCACCCTTATTCTTCTTTATATTTATTAAATGCAAATTATTTTCAGAAAAGGGTAGTGAATTATGAAAATTGTTATTGTTACATGTACTTTTATAATTATGATTAAATGAAGAATTTCTTATTTTTTCGTTACTATTAAGGTGATCATTTAATATATAGCTATCTATGTGTTGGTATAATCTGTTATTTTCTACTAATTTCAATTTATTTTTCTCTGCATATACTTCTTCTTCTTTATTTTTTATGTTTTTAAAATTTTCTTCTGTTATTATCTTCATTTTATCTTCTGAAATTTCATTGCTATAATATGTGTGTTCCTTTTTATTTTTAAAATTACAGATAAACATATTATTCATATGATCAAGTAATACTGCTAAATCTTTATTATTATTTACATAATAAAAATTCAAATTTTTCAATAAAGCTAAATAGTCTAAAAAATTACTGGTTTTTATATTTGCATGCTCATGGAATAATTGCCATATGTCTCTTTTAAAAAAAAAGCAATTATCTCCAAAAAAACTAATTTTTTTATTGAAGAAAAAGTTCAACAAAAAAATTATGTACAAAAAACAAAAGCTGCTCTCTTTATAAGTTAAATTTAATTTAATACAATGAGGATACTCCAAAAATGCATATGATTGATACGATAATAATTCTAATGATATTTCTTCTTTATATAAACTTTTATTATTTTCATTTTTATTATCATTATTATTATTATCATTATTATTATTATCATTACTATTATTATTATTATTAGTAGTAGTAATAGTAGTAGTATTATTATTATTACTATTATTTTCATTCCTAGTGTTATTAGTAATAGTAATAGTAGTGCTGTCATTATTATTATCATTGCTACTATTATTATAATTTTCATTATTATTATCATTATCAATATTATAATTACTATTTTCATTATCATGGTTATTATTATTATTTTCATTATCATTATCATTATTATTATTTACATTATCATTATCATTATTATTATTATTATTTTCATTATCATTATTATAATTACTATTTACATTATCATTGCTATTATTATTATAATTGCTGTTGTTGTTAGATATATAGTTCGTGGTAGAGTTATTAAAGTCATCTAAAATATTAAAATTTTTCTGATTTGTAATAATTTTTTTTTTAAAACTTGTATCAAAAGAATTCTTTGAAATAAAATAACAGAATTTATAAGTCCATTCAAATAAATTAAAATAAGGAGAAAATTGATTACAATTTTGTATAAAATTTTTTCGTAATTTATTAAAGAAAAAGTTATATATTAAGTTAGAGTAATTAAATGACAACATAATTAATATAGAATGTATATAATACCATTCCTCATTATTATAAATTATATTCTCCATTATGTAAGCTTCATTCATATCTGTATCATTATTAACTTGTGATTCATTAATAAAATTTTTATTTTTGGTATTCAAAAATGTGTAAATATATTCATTATCTGTATTATTTGTTAACACATTATTTTCAATATGTTCATAGTTAATTAAATGAGTATTCGTTTTAAAATTAAAATTGTATAAACATAAATTGCTTAATATATTTAATAATACAAGAATTCCATTTTTTTCATACTTACAATGAGATAACATAATAAAAATATGTTTACGTCTGTCTTTATTTAAATTTTTTAAGAGTACTGAAATATATTTATTAAAAAAACTTTTATTTATTGGTATAATATTAGAAATTTTTATAATTAAATATGTTACATAACTAAAAATATCAATATTAACATGATTTAAAAAAAAAACAATACTTTTTAGTATTATTTCGTAAATTTCTTTATCATTATAGATATCTATAAAAAGATCAAAAATTTTAAATACAAAAAGTAAAATATTTTCATCTTCATCATCTATTTTATTAGTTAACCATCCACTATTTGGTTCACTATTAAAAACTATTTCAAAATTCGTTAATAAAATTAAGCTCCTTGTTTTATTATTTTTTTCTAAATGTTTATCAACCATTTTATTTATTTCTTCATTTGATATAATATCTTCTTCCTTTATATTTTCATTGGAATAACCTTCATCAATTTTTTTACTGTTTGTTAAATTTATGCACACATTTTTATTTTTGTATGCTTGTTCGCTTACTGTAATTTTTGATTTACATGAATTGATATTTTCTTTTTTTTTTATATAGTTTTTACTCATGTTGGAATAAAATATATTAGAATAATCACTTAACACACTTATTTCTTTTTCTACTCTCTCATTACTCTCTCTGTAACAACTAGAAATATGACTATTATCAAAAAAATTTAAATTATACTTTTGCAAAAAAATCATTTTGCTACTTGTGAATGCCTTCAGAAAGTTTCCTTTTTTTGCAAGCAAGCAATCTATAATTAAATTTTTACTAAACATAAAATATTTATCAGAATTTTCAATTTCTCTTCTTCCTTTCGTTTTATGTTCATATAACATATTTAAAATATAACAAAAAGATTTTAATGATTCCATCCTAACTAAATTACTTTGACTTTCAGAACAATATGAAAATATATTTAAAAAGGAATTTAATAATTTTACATACGTTTTCTCATCGTTATTTACAACCTTATTCTTCATATTTTTTCTTTTTTTTATTATATCAATTCCGTTTTTATTATTCTTTAAATAATTTATGTACAAAAAAAGTACATAAGAAAGATTAAAGGAGTTTTTTTTCAACTTAATCAATATTTCAAATATTAATACAAGACATTTTATAGTGATAATTTTTAGTTTATTATTTTGCGTAAAAATTTTTACGCATAAGCATGAATATAAATTTAACGTGATAACAAATATATTAAAATTAATATTAGAATCTTCTAATGAATCTATGTTTTTTTTAATATATTTTAATATGTGTATAACATATTTTATTAAATGAATACAATTATTTTCATTAACAGAAAATATATATTTTAATATATTGCAAAGTATATTTAATTTTGATTCCATATATTTTAAAAATGAATTATGATCATTATTTTTAATTTTATTTAACTTTTTTTTTATTTTTAAATTATTTAAAATTTCTTTATTAATATTTTCATTTTTTAATTCGTTCAAATTTTTTTCATTATTAAGTATATTTTTAGAATAATTTAAAGTATTTTTCATATCTTTATTATTAAAATTATTCATACTACAATTATGATTATTAACATTATAAATGTTTTCGTTATAATCACTATTATTATAAGTAACACTGTTGTAATTTCTACCAATATAAAATTTATTATCAATATCAAATTTCTTATTTTCACTATCAATATATTTATTATCAAAGCTACTTATACAATTCTCATTATTAATTACCAAATTATTACCTGAATAAGCAATATTATTATTATTTTTATATTTTTTTATATCACCTAAATAATTGTTACTTAATTTATTATAAATATTTGTGTTTTCATTTTTTAAATTTTTATTATTTTTACCATAATTATTACAGTAAGTATTATATTTATTTTTATATATTTTATGAGTATAAGCTAAATTTAACTTATTAGAAGAATTTAAAAAATAACTAGTATTTTTACAATTTCTTTTACTAAAGTTGTTTTTATTTTTAAAATTTTTCTTTTTTAACACCAAATTTTCATTTTTATCGTAGTTGTCTTTCAATAAACTGTAATTACTTTGTTTAAAAGAAGTAACATTTTCATTTGAGATTTTATCTTTATTAACATTTTTTAAATTAGAATTAAAATTTGGTAAATATGCTTTTTTATTATTTTTATTTATTTTTTTATTTTTTGTTTCATATATATTTTTAGAACCTTCTATATCTGAAATGTAATAATTTTTATTTTTATTTTTCTCAGTTGATATATAACTGTTATTTTGAAAATTATTCATCTTATCGAAGTTATGTTTTACTGTTTTCTTATCATATTCTAATACATCTTGTTTTTTTCTTAAAAGTTCTAATTCATTAGTATTTAATTTAGGGTGTATATAATTTAATTTATTTTTATTTTCCTCATATCCTTTGTCTTCTATGCTATTAAAATTCACGAATTTTTTCTTTTTTTTTTTTTTCTTTTTTTCCTTTATATTATTATTAGAATTTTTTAATTTATTTCCTTTTAATTCCTTCTTCATTATCAATAAAATGTTAACTCCTTTTTCTTAAATAGTCATATTATTAATTCAAAAATATGTATTTTATAAAAAAAAAAAATATAATTATCAAATTAAAATTATGTTATATTTTAGTAAAATTAATTTGAACCCTATTATTATTTATTTTATTATATTTTTTTTTTTTTTTTTTCTGTTTTTGTAAGAAGTTTTCAATTTTCTCACACTTCAATTATTTCATTTTAAATTTTTTGTAAGTTTAAAAAATTGATTCAAATAGAATAAATTTAATTTTATTTAATTCAGCTAAAAATGAATACGGAAAAATAAATTTTATCAAAATTTCTATTTTTTAAATATTTTTTATATTTAAAAAAATGTTCATTTTAATTATTTTTTGTCCTTTTCTATCCTAATAATTCAAAAATTTATTATTTTTTTAAAAATAATTCCATGAATGTTTTAAGAAGAAATTTTTTCTAACATTGAAAATATAATTAAGTAAAATTATTGTAATATATTACTTCTCATATTTTATTTTATTTTTTATTATTAATAATCTTAAAAAAAAAAAAAAAAAAAAAAAAAAAATAATTCATATATAACATGCATATGTTTTTGCATATTTGTATTTTTCTATCTTCTTTTTTCCTTTTTTTCTTTTTCGTTTTTTCATACCCTTTTTCCTGTTTTTATTTTTTTCTTTTTTTTTTTTTATTTGTCATTCATATAGTTTTTATAAGAATACAAAAAGGTCATAAAAATACAACTCTAAAAGTTTTTCTATATATTTTATTTTAGTTTTATTTTTTTTTTTTTGTAGTATTAGACATATATATTTACAGGACGATTATTTTTTAGAAATTTTTTGTGAACATATTTTTTTCCATTCTTATTTTTTATAAAAGATATATATATATTTATATTTTATTTATTTTTTTTTTTTTAATGTAATTAGATAATTTAAATGTTATTAAGTGAAAAAATATTTGTAAAAGATTAAATATGAATGATGAAGAGAAAGTTTTCTATAAATTTATGGAAAATAAAATTCTTCTAAAAAAATTTTGTGAAGAATATATAAAAATAAAAAAAAATGAAGAATATATTAACAAAGAAGCTAATGAAATAAAACTAAAAAATTGTCAACTTGAAAATGAAATAGAAAAATACAAAGATATATTAAAGAACATTGAAAAAAAAAAAGTTGAAGAAATTGAAAATAATAATTTTGAATTTGATATAAAAATTAAAAAATTAGAAAAACATATGAACTTTTTAAATTCATGCTTAAATACAGAAAAAGAAAACTATCATTTGAACGCAAAAGAATTAATATCTTTAAAATATGAAAATAATAAATTAAAATCAGACTTAAATAAAAGTGAATATAATACAGAAGACAAAGAAAATCAAATAAATCAAAATAATATAACTGTACTAAATAAAATTTATTCAGATATTGACAAAAAAATTGAAGATATGACAAATCTATTAAATGAAATAAAAAATTGCAGAAATGATGCAGAACAAAAAATAAAAGATTACGAAACACTTTTAAGTAATTATTTAAAAAAAATATCAGATATAAATTTAAAATACGAACAATTTTATAAGTTATATAAAGAAGCTGAACATAAGAATAACATGAGTAAATATAAAAAAAAAGTTTTAAAAAATCGAATAAGTGAACTAAAAAATTGTAATAAGCTCTTATCAAATCAAATTTCTACATTAAAAAAAGACATTAAGATCATAGAAATGGAGAAAAATGAATATTATTCCCTATTAAAAAAAGCAGAAAAAAAAAACCTATTATTATATCATAAATTAAAAAAAAATGATGACAAATTTTATTCTTCATCAGATTACATTGATAAAAATGACTTTTTGTGGGATATGTTAAATGAAAATATAGAGGAAGTATTTTATAATAACCTAAAAAATAAATCATCATTAATTAAAGGTGATTTAATACTTAGTCAAAACGTATATGATTATATAAATTTAAAAGAAATAGAAAAAAGACCAATTTATTTAAGGAGTAAAACTAAAAGAAGGGATCCTTATCGTTTAGAAGAATTTAATATAAAAAGAGAAAGAAAAAGAAAAAACATTCTCTTTTATTCAGACAATGATTATGATAAGAAAAAAAGGCGTAAGGATATTAAATGAAAATGAAAATATGAAATACATTAGCTTATAAACTTTGATAAATTTAATAAAATTTAAAAAAAGAAAGAAAAAAAAAAAATATAAACTTTTTATCTTCAAAATAGAAAAAAGAGAAAACACTATTTTAATATATTTTTTTCTTTTCTTTCTTTTCTTCTTTATAATTCAAATGCATTATCATCATTAATTTATAACTATCTTCAAAGCAATTAATATAAATGTATTTTTTTTTTTTTTTTTTTTAAAAATATTTGTAGTTTGATTCTAATTGTTTTTAGAATGGATATATATTTATTTTACTTTTTTCTTTCTTTTAATACTTTTATATATATATATATATATTTTTGTTTTATACTATAATAATTTTTATATTATTATTTTTTTATTTTATCCTTTTTAATTTAAATACATTATTGTTGGTTTGTATTAATTATATACTTAAAATTATTTAATAAATTTTTTTGTTTTAAATATATTTTATATATGATGTATAAATAATTTCATATATATTTTATTATTTAAACTAAATTAAGAATTTTTTTTTTTGTCATTTTTTTATTATTTAATTTTTCCTTAAATTACGAAAAAAAAAAAAAAAGATATCGACAATATTTATTTAAAATATTTAAATATTATAAATGTAAGTAATTATAGTATTAGAATAATAGAACAAATTACAATGTTGTTTTAATATTATTTCATTTTTTTTTATAAAAATTGCCCTTTTTTCACAAATGATTTATATATATTTGGAAGTAAAAAAAAATAAAATAAAATAAATATATGTGAAACTAAAAAAAAAATTTAATAAAATGAAATATAATTTAAATTACGCAAAAAAAAATATAAACAATATATAGAAATAAATTGGGAACAAAGTAAAACATAAAAGTGGATAAGTTAAAGAACCTATACAATAGTGATTTCTAGCTATATTATATATATTTAATAAAACACCATTTTTTATTTCATTATTATAATTAAATTTGATGTCTTGATTATTTAAAAAATATTTATTTGTATATAAATAATCAAAATACTTATTTGAACATACAAAATAAAAAAATTCTGGAAAATATTTCATTTTTGACCATTTAGAATTAATTAAATATTTTTCGCATTTATTAAAAATATTCATCAAGAAATTAGTCATTTTATGTCTTTCATTCTACAAAAAAAAAAAAAAAAAAAAGCAGAAAAAGCAGAAAAATATATATATATAAATGAAATGTGAAAAATAATAGATTTTTAATTTTTTAAATTACCAAAATAAAATTTTCATAAGGATATATATAGATTAATGTAAAAATAATAAAAAATAAAATTATAATCTTCTCAACAATTTTTTTGGGTTTCTTTTTAATATTATGTAATAATGATATAGGAACAACAAATGTGATACAAAATATTACCGAATATGACCAGTTATATAGCTAGAATAAAAAAACAAAATAATAAAATATATAAAAAAAGAAATAAGATAAAATATATATATATATATATGAAAAATAAAAGAAAGTTTTTGTTCACAAATAAATCTCTTTAATTATATTTTTTTTTTTTTATGACAAGGAAAAAAAAAATAATGTCATTCTAAAATTAAAAATAAATTTATTTAATTTTTTAGTATTACCGATGATAATAGTACTATTAAAATAAAAAAAAATATATTGATATAATTCATTATTAAAGAATAAGGTGCTACTGAATTTTTAAAAATGTATTTGACATTTTCATTGTCTAATATTTTAAGTTTTGTTTCCATTTTTTCTATCTTATTTTGTATATCTTTAATTAAATTTCTATTTTTTTTTTCAAGAATAAAATTTTCATCATCACTATGGATGACTTTAGGTTTTATTATATTTTCTTTTACATCAGAATTTAAGTTTAAATCTTTTTCATAATTTTTATTATAAAGATAAAGCCCACTTAACTTTTTTTTCTTTTCTTTCAAATCTCTTATTTTTTCTAAAATTACAACTTTTTCTACTTTTTTTACTTTACAATAGCCATTTATTTTGTGAAATTTATTAACAATATATAAAATAAAATAATTAAAAACAAAAGCAATTGCTAATGAAATAATAAAAATATTTATCCAATAGTCAGTTATTTTTATGTAATTCATAAAATTATCAGGGTGCCATTCATCACATAATGGTAATTTTTTTTCTAAATTTAAAAAATCGTAAATTTTATCGTTTGATGACAACAAATACATTGGTAAGGATATAATTAAAATAGTTATAATGTAAGTGTATAACCCTATTAAAAAATTTATGTAATTTCTAAAAATTTTTGATTTCATTAATTTTAAAATGCAATAACAACATATTAGATAAACACTATAGCAGTATATACTAATAGGTATATGCTTTTTAATAGTATCAAAAAAATAAAAATTTGACGAATGACAAAATCCTTCATGTGTATTACTTTGACTTCTTAAATAGCTTTGTAAAGCTTTTGTAAAATCAAATAGATTTATCATTTTATTCTTCAGTGGGATTTTACTAATACCCGTAGTAGTAAATGATGGGATATTTTCTCTTAAAAAAAAAAAAAAAAAAAAAAAAAAAAAAAATGTAAAATTATGAAAAGATATTACATTTATGTTTATATAAAATCATATGAAGAATACAAATTTATTGGTAAAAAGGTTGATACATACAGATATATATCCTATGTGTTTTATTTTCAGAATATTATAATGTAGTATTTTTTTCTTTATTTTGTATTATATATATATATATATATATATATATATATATATATATATATGTGGTTTATAATATATTACCTTAAAAAATGAATGTGTCCTTTTTCATAATTTTTTTCAAAAGCCATATCAAAAATAACATTATGAGTTTGTTCTGTTTTTACAGGAATACTATAATGATATAATTCATTTGTTAATAATAAAATTAAATCTTGATTAGGTAACATACCATTTAGACTATTATAATTAATTTTAATAGATGATGGGTAAATAGAATCAAATTCTATTATTGTTGCTGATCTTGTAATTGATTTTCTATTATTCAAGTTACCATAAAAATAAAACTGTATAAATTCTTGAATTCCTGATGAATATAATAACTCTTTATTCATAAATAAAAATATTATATCTTTACTCATGTAGTTACAATTTGAAAAATGATGAATTAATGTCAAACCAACAGTTAAAGAATGAAAATATTTTCTTTCTTTATAGTCAAAATTTATTACAATTATTAAATTTTCTATATTATTACAAAACTTACAAGGGACATTACTTAACAATATATAATCATCAACTTTACTATTCAATGTTATTTTATGTTTTTCTGTTTCTATAAAAGGTGATATTCTATTAATATATTCCTGTATAATATCAATTATATGTTCTCCTTCATATTTATAATTTAAAAAATAATTATTCGTATTTTTAAAAAAATTCTCGTTTTCTTCATTTAAGGTAGAATTTCCTGGATATGGGGTAAAGGTACGAGCATCTAGCTCAGCATTTTTACTTATTTTATTGAAAATACAAAAATAAAAAAATCCAATTATAGAAACTATTAATCTATCAAAAAATTAAAATGTAATTAAATAAAACATAATATAAAATATTTTAATTTATTTTAAATAATTAAATATAAATATAATATTATACACACTATAAAATATGTTATTGTATTTTGATTTTCTTTACCCTATAATTTTCCACTTTTTAAAAATTTTTTTTGTTAATAATAAAAATTTGGGATTCTCTGAAAAACCCATGATAATCAAAAGAGTATAAAAAAAAAAAAAATTTTATTTTTTAAGCATGTAACTAAAGAATTCCGTTTTTTTTTTTCTTTTTATTTCTTTTTTTTTTTTTTTTAATTTTTCACAACTATATATCATTCAGCTTTATTGTTTTTTAATAAAATGTAACAAAAACTAATTTTATAATTATTCAATATGTTGTAATAAATTTTCATATATATTTTAAATCTGAAATGGGAAAATTTTTTTTTTATATTTAAATTTATAGATCTATTTAAATGGAAAATCTAAAGTGTTCCTTTTTTTTTCTTAGGAATTCCTCAAATTTCTTTTGTTTTAATTTTAGCTACTCCTTTTTACATTTTATTTTTTTTTTTATTTATTTTTATTCTTTTATTTTTATATTTTACATATTTAAAATTAAGATATATTCTAAAAAATAATGAAAATACTTAAAAACTATTTTATATTTTAATTTCCATTTTATGTTTCATGTATTATAAAATTGGCAAATCTTTTTTTTTTTTTTTTTTATTTTGAAGGCTTTAATTTCAAATAAAAATATTTAACAATATTATTTTATTTTATTTTATTTTTTTTAATAAGTAGATAAATTATATATATAAATACTTTTAAAAAATTTTGTAAGCTTTCAATAATTTGAATATATAAAGAAGTGTAAATTAAAATATATCTATTTTCCATATGTTATAAAAGATGATAGGGTTTATAAATAAAAACATAAAAAAATAGATACAACGAAATTTTTTTTTATGCAATAAAAAATTAAAATAAAATTTGATTTCATAGAAAGAAAAAGAAAATAATCTATTATTCTCAATGTATATAAAAAAGAAATGATGTGTTAAGTTCTTTCATAAAATTCACAGAAATTAAAATAAAAATATAATATAAAATACCCATCTCCAAATATATGTTTTCCTTTCCTTATAAAAAAGTTTATATTTAAAATATGTATTTTTAAATTTACAAAATGTGCGTTATTTCAACATTTTTTTTTTGAATATTATATTATGTTTGAATATGTTATTACAAAAAAAAGAAAAAAAAAAAAAAAAAGTGTATTAAAACATATAACATACTATTTTAAAAAAATTCCTAATATAAATACAAGTAAAATTAAAAATAGAAAATATTAATTCTTTCCTTTTAGAATAAAAAACTACATTTTTTGAAAATAAATAAATACATATATATATGTATATATATTTTATCTATGTGTTAATTTAAGTATAAGGAATAATTAAAACATTTATTTCTTTTTTTTTTTCTAATTTATTATTATAAATATACATGATATAATACATTAATTTATTCATATAACTTAATAAAACATAAGAAAAATATTTATAAAAAAATAAATATTCAATAATTTTTGAGATTAATTTATTTTAGTATTAATTTATTTATTTCGTTATTATTTTATTTTATTTTATTTTTTATTTTTTTTTTTTTTTTGCATTTAATTATTGCTTGTCTTCAAGATTAAATAGTTAAAAATGTAAAATCTAAAATAAAAATATTGCAATTTATTAATAAGTTGATTTATAAAAAGAGTATAATAATATATATTACTTTTAATTGTTATATGACTGATTCTGTTGTTGATTATAAGGCTGATTATAAGGTGCATTATATGAAGCATCATTTTGTTGATTTAGTTGTCCATTTAATTGTTGATTATATTGTTGATTATAAGGTGGTATGTTACAAGGTTGATTATAAGAACTATTAAAATGTTGATTATAAGCAGGATTAAATTGTTGATTATTTGGTTGATTATGAAGTTGATTTATTCTTTGATTGCAATGAGTTCTGTTATTTTGTAGATTGTATTCAGAATTGTGTATATTATTATGTTGATTATGTATATTTCTATTATTCATATGATCATAATTCATTAAACTATTTTGTTGATTATAAAGAGGCATATTATCCTTATGATTATACATCATTCTATTTTCCTGTTGATTGTAATGAGATAAATTATTATTGTGGTGGTCATAATTTGGTATATTTGTATTTTGTTGATTAAAATTATGCATATTATTTTGGTGATCATAATTATTTGATAAATAAGATTGTTGATTATACATAGACCCATTATTTGTAGGATCACAATTGGCTATATAATGTTGTTGATTATATGGAATGAAATTATTTACATTATTATTTCGTGGTATATAGGGTCTTTTATATACTGGAATATCTTCATTTTGGTTATTTAATTGTTGTACCACTGGATTATTATTAGCAGTGTTAATAGGTATATAATGATTCTGTGATATGTTTTGAGGTTTATAAAGATTTTCTGGGAGTGGTTCATTTATATAAAGAAAGGTTGGATCATTTGGATCAACATAAGCATTACTATTTGAAAAAAATTGTTCATTAAATTCACTTAAAGTACCTAATGGTTTGTTTTTTTTTGATGCTTCATATACTTTAAAAAAATAATTAAGAAAATTACTACACTGTCCATTTAAAAAAGTAATATTCCATTTACAAGTGCTTTTTAAACTATTTGGATGATCAATTAATGGTTTGATCATTCCTGAAAGGTAATTCAAACCAAAAACTGGCTGTTCAAATTTAGGTTTTTCAATTAAGTTTAATGGTAACTCTACTCCTGCAAAATTAGAATTAGTTTTACTTTGTTCGCTTTTAACAAAAACTAAGCGTGTACTTGTTAAAAATATCATACCATCTTCTTTTATTGTCCTATAAAAGCATATAGAAAAAAAAGTAAAATACATATATATATATAGAAAGAGTAGGAGTAAGAGAGACTGATAAAAAAGGAAACTTTTAAAAAAATTGAATAAAAGGTATCTTGAAAATATGAAACTATTATATTATTTTTAAACATAAAAATTACAAAAAATATATGTAAAGAAACTTTATAATAAATATATATATATTAATCACCTATCTGGTAAATATAACTTTAATTTAACATCATTTCTTCTTAAATAAGTAAATTCTGATCCTTTATTAGCAGGAAATAAATATTCTATAAAAAAATATTTTTTTATAAATGAAACATTTTGCTTTTAATATTTATCAATATATATAAATTTTCTTATTTCATAATTTAAATAAATTATTTTATTTTTCATTGTAAATAGAAATATATTAAAAAATACAAAATTATTAAATATATTGATATTTTTTTTTCTTTTTTTTTTTTTTTTCTTGTTTTTTTATAAATTACCATTTCCTTGAATTAAAGTTGGATTTAAAGCCATTTTTTATTTATATCCAGTTTTACTTTAAGGCAAATAATTGCTACTAAATTAATTTTCTTTGGTATTTAAAAAATTAAAAAAAATTTTGTTCTATATCTATCTATAATATTGTAATATACATGTATAACTATTATATTTATATTTCTTTGATATTTCAAAAAGAAAAAAAAAAAAAAAAAAAAAAT